CTTCAACTCCCAGAATTCCCCATCTAATAGCTATGGACTTCAACTCCCAGAATTCCCTAGCCAGGAGCTACGGATCTCAACTCCCAGAATTCCCCATCTACCAGCTATGGAGTTCAACTCCCAGAATTCTCCAGCCAATTCTGGGTGAACTTTTAAAAACTGGAAAGAAAAACAAAATATTAAAAATTGAAGGGAAAAACCGGCAGATTCTGGACACCGATCCCCAAACAATTATGCTGCCCCAATAATAGTATGCCACATACTCTCCATGACAGGTAGTCCTTGAATTACAACAGTTCATTCAGTGACCTTTCAAAGTTACAACTTTGAAAAAGTGACTTCTGACCATTTTTCACACTTATGACCATTATAGTATTTCCATGGTCACATGATCACAATTCAGACGCTTGGCAACTGACTCGTATTTATGATGGTTGTAGTGTCCCGGGATCACATGATCCTCTTTTGCAAGCTTCTGACCAGCAATGGGGGAAGCCAGATTCACTTAACAACCGTGGCAAAGAAAAGTCACCAAATGGAGCAAAACTCACTTAACAACCATCTCGCTTAGCGGCAGAAATTTTGGGCTCCATGGTAGTCATAAGGATACACTGAGAATGTTATCTGCTGAACAAAAACTCTGCATTGGTGACAGGAAAGGCATCCGGCCAGTAAAACAACTTTGCTAGCTCGGTTACCCAGACTCCATCCAGTAAGGGATTATGGGGTCGTTAAAAGAGGATGATTGTTGGTCATAAAGCGAGGACTACCTGTATTTGTAATCTATAGGTCCCTGCCTTTGCTAGAGGCAAGCGTACTTCCCATCTGTTGCCAAGATAACATGCTACAAAAATGAAACAATGAAGAAAAATGAAAAAATGAAACAAAAGAACATCGCAACAGATTCACCACAGACCTGAGTCCCTTTCTAGGAAATCTATTACTACTATTATTATTATTATTATTATTATTATTATTATTATTATTGGAAAATGATTCTTTACTGCCTGACACACTGTGAAGGTTTGCAAACAAGCCACAAAAGGAATCCTGTAAGAAAATCTGCTGCCGTAACCCAGCTATTTCGGGGGAAATCTTGCCTTAACATCTATGCCTTTATTTTCTTTTTTCCAACATTACAAAGCTCACCCAAGAGATCAATTCGATTTATTTCATTTGAAAATCAACTCTAAAGAATCGCACCTGCAAGATCCCTGGAGATGCCCGAATTTCCTTTTTTTTTCATAAGAGAAAATACAAATTTTCCTTTAAAAAAAAAAAGGGGGCCTTTTGTATTTTAATTTTCTTGGAATCAACTAACATTTGCACGAAAATAAATAAGTAAGTAAGTAAGTAAGTAAGAGAAAGGGGAAGTGCTCCGAGCTTGGAGTGGACAATCTTTCAATCCGAATTCACTCCGGATTAGCAAGGGCCCCTTGCTCTAATATTCCCCCCACCAAAAGACCCTGAGGGCCAGTTTTCTTCCCTCTTGGGGAGGGAGGAGGCGTAAAAAGACAGCCCCCCCCAAAAACCCAACTTTCCAATTTTCCTGCTGTCCGCTCCGAATTTGCCCCTTTCAGGCACCGTTTACACGAAAAAAAACGGAGCCGGTCCTCCGCTTTCAGAAACCGAGATCTAAGCTAGTTTAAAACCAAAAGCCAAAAAGAGAGGCTTCGGGGAAAAAAGAGGCCGACCCACTTTCCCAACTTCTGAGCCGGCCCACATTCCGAAGTGCACGTGATGCCTGCTTGCTCCTGATTGCTTCCAGCCACAAAGGGCAGTCACTCCGGAGTATAAAAGGAGCCCAGCTGGGAAGCGGGGGCGTGGCTGCGCCATTTGTGAAAGTGAGTCTTTACTTTGGTCGGGTAAGTTGAAGAACGGCGTCTTTCTTTTTCCTTCCTTCTTTTCTCTCTCTCTCTCTCTCTCTCTGCCTTCCTTCCTTTTTCTTGTCCTCTTTCTCTCTGTTTCTCCCTCTTCCTCTCTCTCTCTTTTTATTCTCATTTCCTCTCTTCTACACTTTCTTTCTCCCTTTTTCTCCTTCTCCCTTTCCCCCTTCTCCCTCTTTCTCTCCCTAACTTTCTCTCCTTTCTTCCCCCTTTCACCTTTGTTTTTCTCCCTATCTTTTACACTTTCTTTCTCCCCTTTTCTCCTTCTCCCTCTTTCTCTCTTCTCTATCTTCTTTCCCTCTTTCACCTCACTTTTTTTCTCCCTCTCTCTTATACTTTCTTTCTCCCCTTCTGTCTCTCCTCTGTTCCCTTTCCCTCTTTCACCTCATTTTTCCCCTTCTCCCTATCTCTTACACTTTCTTTCTCTTTCCCCTCTTTTTCCTTCTCCCTCTTTTTCCTTCTCGTTCCCGTTCTCCCTCTTTCTCTCCCTTTCTCTCTCCTCTTTCCTCCCCCCTTTCCCCTTCTCCCTCTTTTTCCTTCTCGTTCCCGTTCTTCCTTTCTCTTCCTTTCTCTCCCTTTCTCTCTTTCCTCTTTCCTCTTTCCTCCCCCTTTTCCCCCTCTTTCTTCTTCTCCCTTTTTATTTTTCTCCCTCTCCGTAGCTCTTTCTCCCTTTCTCTCCCTTGTTCTCCCTCTCTCAACTTTTCCTCTCTCCCTCTGTGATTTCCGCGCGGGGTCCGTTCGTGGTCTGTTCATGGCTTAAGTCAGTTAATCCTCATCCTGGTCCCAAAATCGTGCAGAGTTTTTTTTAATGTCGCCCCAGCCGGTGCCTGCAAAAAGTTGTTTAAATAATAGTCGTGTGTCTTTTTTAAAAAAATTAACAGATAAAATTGGCGCTTTTAATGCATGAATGAATGGATACGTGTACGTGTCCTCCGGTGGGTGTTGACTCCTAGCAAACAAGCACACAATCTTGTGAATTGGGGAGTTTAAAAGCGGGTGTAAAGAAAGCTCCCTGGTGTAAAGAAAGCCTCCTTTGGAGGAGTAGTCTATCGGAAAGTAGCTTACTCGTGTTGTGCTTCCACTGGTATAGCACTGAAATCTGTATATCTTAAAACTAAGGCTGTCAAACTGGTTTATTTGTGTCCAAAGCATCACAATTAAAATAAGGCATACTATACATACCATTATACATTTAAAATATAAAATTAAAATATATACAAATGAAAAACATCTTGCCCAGAAATTTGCAACATTAATTGTGTGCCAAACCGGTTTAAGGTAGTCAGTCATGAGGCCATTAGGAGCCCAAATTGGTTTAGCTTTGTCTTATTTATTTTTAAAAAAAAAAAGTGGCTTCGGGTTGAGAAGTTTGAATGCCTTTTATTTTGTTAAATTTACATGTCTCCATCTGCCTATCAAGCAACCCTGATGCCTTAGAGTGCCGTCAATCACAGTATAGATAGTCCTTGACTTGCAGAACTCTTCATTTTCCTCCAATTTCATGGTACACACGTTGTGCATTGACAATAAACCTTTGATTTAGTGACCAAGGTTTCAACGGCACTGAAAAAAAGTGACTTTTATAACGGTTTTTTTTTTTTTCACACTTCTGACCATTGTGGCATTCCCTGTGATCAAAATTCAGATGCTTAGCAGTTGACTCATATTTATGACCGTCACATGAATCCCCTTTAATGACCTGACAAACTCAGTGGGGGAAGCCAGATTCACTTAACAAACTTACTAACTTATCAACTGCAGTGATTCACTGAACAAATGTGGCCAAAAAAGGGGGTAAAATGGGGGAAAACTCACTTAGCAAATTGTCTTGCTTAACAACAGAAATGTTGTGGTCGGTTGTGGTCAAAAGCCTAGGACTACCTTATAAAACTTTAAATTAGGCTGATAAGGCTGCCCAAACATTGTTAACAGCTTAATTTTTTTTCCCCAAAAACTATTTTCCCCATGCATCTTTAAATATGATTGATTTATTGAAAAGACTGTAAATTTAAGAAAATGGTTTCCAAACAGACAAGATATCTATCCATGCCTCAAATTTGAGGAGTAAAGACGCATGGGGGGAAAAATAGTTTTTGAAAACTAAATATGATATATTGAAAAGACTGTAAATTTAAGAAAACTGTTTCCAAACAGACAAGATATCCATGCCTCAAATTTGAGGAGTAAAGACGCATGGGGGGAAAAATAGTTTTTGAAAACTAAATATGATTTATTGAAAAGACTGTAAATTTAAGAAAACTGTTTCCAAACAAAGTACCCATGCCTCAAATTCCAGGAGTAGTTTTCCTCCTGTGTCCCATCTCCTCTTTCGGGTGCAGCCCAGAGCCTGAAGCAAAATGGAGTACCCCTGCATTAATATATTTTGGGGGGAAAGGAAAGGCAGTTTATTTTATTTGTCAAGCAAATATTATATAACAGGTATAAGTATGAATACGGTTATGAATACATGAAATGGATACAAGTAAAAAGAAACAATAGGACAGGAACGGTGGGCACATTGGTATGTTTACGCATGCCCCTTACAAACCTCTGAGGAATTGGGGTGAGGTCAATAGTAGACAGTCTAAGGTTAAAGTTTTTGGGGGAATAAACCACAGAGTCAGGTAGAGTATTCCAGACATTGACCACTCTGTTGCTGAAATCGTATTTTCTGCAATCAAGTTTGGTGCGGTTTACCTTGAGTTTGTATCTATTGTGTGCTGTTGTGTTGTTATGGCTGAAGCTGAAGTATTCATTAGCAGGTAGGACATTGCAATATGATAATTTTATGTACTATACTTAGATTTTGGACCAAAGGAGTCGTAGTTGAAATTTTATGGTTTGGTATTGAAAGGTAAAATCTATTCCAAATGCTACCATTAATTTTTTTTTTTAAGGCCGCAGTTTATTTTCTTTCTTGAACTGAACAATAGAGTTGGAAGGAACCTTGGTGGTATTTCAGAATCAAAATAGAGCTGGAAAGGGACCTGAGAGGTCCTCTAGTCCAGCCCCCTACTCAAGCAAGAGATACTATGTACCATTATTGGTTAGGAAGTTTAATCTCCTTAATTCCAGGTTGCTTCTTTCCCCCCCTTAATTTCATCTGTTGTTTTCATCTGTTGTTTCTTTTCCTGCCTTCAAATGCTTTTGGGAGAATAGCTTGGCCCCCCCTCTTTGTTGGCAGCCCCCCAAATATTAGAAGACAGCCATCATGTCATCTCTGATCCTTCTTTTCATTAAACCAGACATACCCAGTTTCAGAATAGACCAGCAACAGTTTGTGCAATGCCTCCTAATAAGCTGTCTCCATTGCAAATGTGGGGAAAAAAAAAATGCATTATTTCCAATAACGAATTCCAGTAGGATCAGGTGCTCACAGTGAGACTAGCTGACTTGTGCCAAATGTCCATTGTGACATCCTTAAGTTGTATTGCTGACATTGCTGGATCAGGCCTTAAGCAATCTCGGGCGAAACTCATTCGCATGTAAAAATAATTCAAAATTAGGATGGGAAAGGAAGGGAGGTGAGATTTCAGCACCCTGATTTCCAACCTTGGCAAGTTTAAGAAGGATGGAGTTCAACTCCCAGAATTCCCCAGCCAACATGCCAGAGAAAAGGCTTGTTGGACTCTGGCCTGCTGGCTTAATCTCCTTAGCTATGATGGCTAACAAGTCAGAATCCACTAAACCATTGTCTTTCCCATTCATCCTGGCTGGGGAATTCTGAGAGTGAAAGTCCTGTAATTGAGTGGATTTATATGCCAATTTTGGCCCAGTATTTACAACATGCATAATGCACTGTAAAATTGTGGCTTAGTTTCCTTAGCTATGATGGCTAACAGAACCCACCAAGTCATGGCTAACAGAACCCTTCTTGCACGCTGACTGGATAATTCTGGGAGTTGAAGTCCAACAATTTTAGATGATTTATATGCCAGTTTTGGCCCAATATTTACAGTAAGTACGGGTATGTGTACACACACACACATATACACACACACACACACAAACACAAACACATATATACACATATGTATACATATCCATAGGTAAAATCTTCACTTAATCTCCTTAACTATCACAACTAAGATTTTACAAGGCTATGTGTATTATAAATTCTGGACCAAACACTGGCATATAAAATATCTAAATTGCTGGATTTTCAATTCCCAGAATTCCCTAGTCACTGCATACTGGCTGTGGAATTCTGGGAATTGAAGTCGATATCTCTTCAAAGTGCCAAGGTTTCGGGTGGTGGTGGTGGAAGTGCTGATTATTTGATGTTTTACAACGTGGCATGGTTGTAGTACCAACAAAGGAAGGTACACAAAATTTTCTGCTCATTCTTGAATGTTTAAATTTTGTTTAAGAGAAGCCATGTTAGTTCTGTCAGCACCGTTTCCCATCAATGCATTTTATTGCTATCAAGTTTTTATAAACTGCAGCTGGTACCTTTTAACAAATCTATGCATCGAAAACAGTCCTACCAAATTTCTGGGAGCATTTGTGGGTTTCCTGGATGAGGTCACACCGCCAGCCCCATAAATGCACAGTTCACTTTTCTGATTTTTCACACCTACTACTTTCTATTAAATCTTACCTGTACAGGTAATCCTTGATTTATAACAGTTTGTTAAGTTCGTTCAAAATTACAACGGCACTGAAAAAAAAAATGACTCTCAAACTTATTTGAGAGGTGGTTCTCCATTCAAAAATCCAAGAAAGACACTCTTGGACTCCGTTAATATAGAGAAAAGGAACTTTTGCTGGAAACGAAGTGGTAGCATCAAAGTAATTCTAGATCTGAGGATTTATGCGCGAAAAACACCTATACAAAGTGATGGCAACGTTCCCACCCACAATAGTTCAAACTGTCTATCCAACTGAGGATTTGACGCGGGGCATCTTCAAGTGGTGATGCAGACATCTGGCCGTTGACCTTGTCCTGATTTGATAAAAGAGCTGTAGTTGCGCAGTAA